CACACACACACACACACACACACACACACACACACACACACACAAACACAGCAAGTTGTGGAGGTCACAAACAGAACAAAAAAGGTCATATATTTAGGTTTATTTGTGTAAGCAACATAAATTGGCAGCAAGCACACATGTACCTTATAGATAAAATATTTTAACACAACCTAAATCCTTCAGGAAACGATGATAATTACAGTGTTTTTCCACATTAGTTTACATAGTACAACATGCAGTGGGTAGTTAGACTGTCCAAATAATAGCTGGAAAAGAAACCTGAGCCTGGCTGACAGGGTCTAACAGTAATAGTGCACAGGCCAGCTCTTACTGTATGTGTTCAGTTACATGACAGCAGAAAGAGGACACTAATTTGTTTTAACAAGAAATTCTCTTCAGTGCTGACTACACAGTGTTTAAATAATGTGTTTATTTAAAGGAAACAAAGCCACTGATTCCACCTGTGCAGCTTCAAAAGCATGAACCAATCCAGATCAAGCACACAGGAGAAAAACAGACACACTGATGACCCCTAAGGAGAGGGTTGTGTAATACACAACTGACTCAAAGAAGGGAGTGGTTTGTTAGTTCAAACCAACTGCGACTTATCTCCAGGGTCCAGGTGCTTTCTCCCTCCCACTCTGATGTAAACCATGTTTTGACACTGTCTTGATTAATGAGGTGTGTAGACACAAATGAGAGTGGTTTTCAGAGTGGGGGAAGCCCTGTGCTGTAGGAAACTATGAGTTCAGCTCTCCTGAGATGTGGCACAACAACACTGTGCAGTTAGCTTACCTGCTTGATGTAAACTCCAGTCCTGGCAAACAGGTCCACGAGCTCCGGGTGCTGTCGGCTCTCCTGATTACCATGGCCCAGACTGAAATTAGTGTTGTTTCCCCAAGTGTACACTTCTGTTGGGTCTGAAGTGAAGACAGCACTGTTACCAGCTTCAGAAAGAGCCTGGATTTACATCTAGAGGCTTTTTATCATTTATATTTGGTAGTTATTGAAAAGTGCACAAATTGTATTGTCCAGAAAGACCATCCTGGACTGAGAAAATTGCATCTATGTGTACAGGTGTAAAAAAATCATTTCTTTTCTTACCAGTGTTTCTGAAAACAACATGTGCTGGTCGGTCCTTCATTGTTAGGTCCAAGACAGAGAGACCCTCCTTATCCTGAATGGAAAGAGTCCCACCATGCTGGGAAAAAAAATTAAACAATTTAATCTACATAAATTATTGTCTCAGCTGAGTTCTGAAATAAAAACTGTCTGATCAAAGCACAACATAGTGTTTAACAGATAAAAATAAAATACAATGATCTGAAAACCTCTCAAACTCATGAAACATAGTAAATATATCAAATGTTTAACCTAAACACTGCACCATTTTTAAGAAATAAAGTTATTTTGAATTTGATGGCAGCAACACATCTCAAAGAGATGTTCAACAAAAGCCTTTTAAAGTAAATGAATAATAAACAGCTGGAGCCTCTGGGAGCCCCTCAGGGCACTGGGACCACCCTTCAGTCAGCCCAGAGGTTGTTTTTTTACTCGACATAAACTTTGTAAACTTCTGTGAGCTTTGTTTTGTAAGTGGAGGAGGACTGACTGCAATGATTTCATGACAGCCAGAGGAGGACAGAATAAACTTTGTCAGCTTGGATAAAGATGGTAAGAATTTTACAGCTGCTGGTCAGAACTATTTTTACCAACATCAATTTCACAAACTCCTGTAAACTTCAGAATATTTACTAAATGTCTACTTTAATTTAGTAGATGTGTTTACTTTAGAATAATGTTAATTGTCTTACATGAATTAATGAGATTATCTTACTGATCCAACACCAGCACATACCTTGACCAGTGATATGAGACAGTGGATGTGTCCATAGAAGGCACTGCGGTGCAGAGCAGTCCAGCCTGACTCTTTATCCTTCATCATCAGATCTGCAGCCTTACTGTCCAGCAGCCAGTCCAGCAGGGCCTTCTTTCCCAGGGAGGCTGCAAGGTGAAGGGCTGTACGACCAAAGGCATCCCGCAGGCTGGCTGCATTGTGGCAGTGTGATGTCAGGAAGGCCCTGAGCTTCCTCTCAGAGCCACTGGTTAGAGCTGCGATCACCTGCTCTGCATGCTGCTGGGATCTGCATTTACAGGTGCAATCCTGTGGTGCCAGACTCATCCTGAGACCTGTAAATCCTCCTCCCTGTCTGCTGCAAACCTTCCAACAGCCCACCACCCACAGTCACAAACAAACTCAAAAATTATAACAAAACAATTACACTAACTTTACTCCCAAAACACCTAGGAACAGGTTCTAACTGGTCCAGGTTTGGAGTGCTAGAACTGTGCTTGTGTTGAAATTCCACCGCACTCTAGCAACCCCCGAGCCTTTGTGTAGCCTGCTTCAGTCCACCATTTCCAACACAAACTGGACACAAACAACACTGCTTGCAGCGTACAGTGACATCATGAATTCAATAAATACAAAATTTATCATGTGATATACAAAATTATACAAAAATGTACATGTCAGGTTTAGCAAAAATAGTTTTTTAATCCAACAATGTACAAAGAACAAGCCTTGATGTTCCTGTTCTGCAGTCCAACCACCAAATGTGAGGGGAAAGCTCTCCTTCCCCTCCAAACTGTTCCTGTCTGTTTCAAATCTCCATAATTGTAGAGTTTACCTGAGGGAGGAAAAATACATAAATACTGTGAAAGTCACGTTTATTTAAACAACAATGATATCTGCAGCAGGTCTAAGCACTTATAGAAAATAACCTGACTTTGTAATCTGGCTCTTTAAACAGTGTAACTTGTTAAATATGTCTAAGTCTAACTAAAGGCATAAAATAACTGGAGGTGAACCTCTACATACTGTGATGCTAACAATTATAAGTAATTTATTTATAACAAAATGTTCACAAGTCAGCAGAAATAAAACTGATAGGACCTGTAGACTCGGTTAGTGACACAAATAATGAGTAGAAACATTTTATGTCTGAATATAACTAAATGTTTACATGTTAGCTGAACTTCAGTAACGTGTTAACTTTACTGTAAAAATCAACTTTAATGTTGTTCATCTTCTCAGTGTTCATTGTTCAAACTGGACTTTACATGAAGAACAAGAGGTATTAAAAGAAAGATTAAAACAGACTTAAGATAAGCTATAAAAGTTAGGCTAAACCTAATGTTGTTAATATCTCGGTATTAGCTGGTTAAATTTATCACATTTTTACATATTTTCATATTTTTATTATGTAACTTGAACCATGGAGACAAAGTGCAACAAAGAAAAGACTAAACTAATCTACAAATGAAGACAAATAATAATTTATAAAAAATAAACTAGTTGATTTGATGCTAACTGACCTAGCCTCTGTTAAACACAAGCTTTACTCCAAAATAAACCTGAACGAGTTTATTTTTATTTCTCTTACCTTCCGTTAGATAAAGAAATAAAACATCACAAAAGTCACATCATCCACGTACATCCAAACACACATGACTACAAACTACAAATGTTTACGGTTCTTCACAGGCCTGAAAGCCTGCAGCTCCAGCTCAATGACGACACTTCTGATTGGTCAGGATGTGAATATGCTCACATCCTATTGGTTGATTTGTTACACGTCAGTGTGCTGCTGCTGCATCATGAAAAGACTTGTTTTTTAATCCTGTGGTTTAAAGTTACACATGTGTCATTACATAATGAATAGTAATACATTAAATGCTGTCTTGATAGTTATTAAGGCAGTGCCAAATGTTTTAAACCGACTGTACAGAGGGTCATTGATGTCTGAGGGAGTTGTGTTGTGTTGTGTTGTGTTGTGTAGACACCTGTTGAGCAGGTCACACCTGTAAACAGGTGTGTATCAGAAGCTTGTATATTCTGCAGGACATCCTGTCGTTACAACAGTTTGTAACTCAGACCAGACTTTGTGAGGGATCAGTTTCTCTCACAGTCCAGGTCTGAAGGACATCCTCAGACGCTGATCCTGGCTGAGAACATGAGAAGACCCAGTTAAAGCTAGAGTTACACACTGGTCCTCATCAGGCCCTTCAAAATATGACAAATTCATCAGGATGTGACCTTGACCTGTGTGTTTGTGCATGGACACAACCACACTTTGTCTTCTGGTTTAATCCAACAAGATTAACATTTTATTTCTTCAAAGAGAAAATAAACAAGTATTTCTGCTGACTTTGTTCAAAGTACTGCTCTGAAATACTGACAGATGTTAGAGGCTTTTAAAAGCAATGAACTTGTCAAAGGTTTGATTTTTCTCAACATTTTATGTGTTTTTTTTATTCAAAGTCGACCCTTAAATACAATTTCCCTTTTTCTGTTTGAGCTCCTGTTTTAACTTTATTATAAAAGGAATAAAAAACAACAATTATTGAACCAAAAAGTGTGTGTGTGTGTGTCTGTGTGTGTGTGTGTGTGTGTGTGTGT